GCACTAAGTTGTTCGGCAGGTAAGTGCGTGAAATGCCAAGATCTGAGACTTGAAGCAGAAAAGAGATAAAAAAGACAATGAATGAAGCTTTCTCAAATCTCATTTTATCGTTGGCAATCCGCAAATGAAAGTTACAGTATTGTTTTGAGGCTGCACCAAGTAGATGTAAGGATGTGACAGAACTTCATAACAGGAGTTTGGGATTCTGGAAAAATCTGATACATGAATGTCACCTCTTGTGTCACTTATATCTGCAATGTATATTTTGTCAGCTGGAGTTGGCTCCAGAGACAGTGCATAGAAAAGAACATAATCTACATAGTCATTTTATAAATGTAACTGACTTTGTGTAGGGTGAACAGAAATAATAATATAGTAATTCTAACCATTTTCACAATGAAAAATGACTTCCTGAGCGAATGGTAATTCCCTCTTCTTCCACCCCAATATATGTTTTTATTGAAAGGTAGACAGTTTGTATTAAGCCCAAAACCTCTGGGTTTCAGCAGTTGGAAAGGGAAAAATAAATTACTATGGTAGAAGAAAGCCAGAGATGCTAAGGAAATTAAATATGTGTATTTTCCTGGGGGAAAATATCCTTTCCTTTAATCATCTGCAATACACAGGCAAGCCGCATCATTCTTATGCACTAGTTTTGGGGGTCGAGCACCAGACCACGCTTAAAGCTTGACTCTTGCTGCCTGTAGAGTCTCATTGCTCTGAACAGAGTCTGTTTATTTTAATGTTCCTGCATCACTTCTGATTGCTTGAAACAGACGCCCCAAGACGCCCAATGACTTGCTGGCTCTCTTCCGTTACCCCCGGGACCCTTACACCCTTGAAACAGCCAGGGCAGGTGAGATCTTTGAAAGGACCTTGCAGCTGATTCAAGAACATGTGCAACAAGGTCTAATCGTGGATATGAATGTCACAGGTAGGAGAGATTTTATTTCCCTTCTTAACTTTGCGCTTAGGATTAAATTAAAACAATGTGTACATATTCAGAAAGTTTAAAAAGTGCAATTTTGGGTATGTCAAGAACGGGTTGTCTGGGTTGCAATGCTCACTTACATCTCATGGTCTTCCTAACAGCCGGAGGGCTGGTCTTGTGTTTACCATAACAACTCGGTACTCAGGAAAGTGATTCAGTTCCCTGTTTTACTGAAGATTTCTTGACTGGCTATGAAAGCCCTAATCTTTAAAAATATTTAGCCGTCTAACTCACAAAGGAGTACCTTTATGCATCTGAGTTTTGACCCCTCAGCATTGTGGACATTTCTTGCCCTCCAAGTGGCAATGAGAAAAACACTGAAAACTCTGAAGTATTTGGGTGCTATATCAGAGGAAGTGAGGTATCACTCCTCTGTCTCTCAACTACTTTGAGCACTTAGCTACAAAGTCAGATTGGTTCCAGCCACTCAGGTTCCTTTTATGGAGGCAGGATAGCAAGCAACAAAGCAATGCAACACCAAAAATACTTAATGAGGTCCAAGCATCCAGCAGCTGGACTCCAAAACTTGCTAACTGGAACTTCCTTTATCTGCAACAGACATTCCCATACACTGCGTGTTTTTACCTATATCTGTGAGTCATTTTGCAGCAGGCATGTATGTTCGGGGCCCGTAAATATTTTTGTATTCCAGGCTGCAAGGAGTCTCTCTCCAGGCTGCAGGTCTTGTCTGGGCTGGTCGGACTGCCAGCCTCTCCTCCTCATTGCCCTGTCAGCATCCGCACAGCACAGCATTATTCAGCGCTTTCACATGGCGCAGTGCCCTGGCAGTCACCCACAGCTTCCCTGCTGCTCGTCACGTAGGGTTTGGATGGCTGATGGTGCTCAAGGTTGCAGTAATAACCCAGAGAGATGTAAAATAAACCCAGGATGGAGACTGAGACCACCCCCACAGTTAGGTCTGCCGGTCTCAAAATTTCTGGTTCCCACCTCGGCACAGTTTATACTAAATGCTTTTCCCCTTCTTTTCTTCTCAGTCGGCCTGATACAATCCTGTGCTTCATTTAACTTTCCATAAATTACATAGCAACACCGTGATCAGAGACCTGGCTTTCCCGTGCCCACCCTGACAGTCTCAGCAGCAGTTTCACACGGAGCCTTTACATGGGATGGTAGGAACCGGATGGCTACAGCGGCCGTGGTCTGACCTGGTGCTTTGCCTTTATCTTCACAGGCTATCGGTACAATGACTTGGTGTCCCCTCACTACCTGAACATGATCGCCAACCTGTCGGGCTGCTCTGCCCACCGCCGCACGCCGAACTGTTCAGATATCTGCTTCCACAAGAAGTACAGGACCCACGATGGGTCTTGCAACAACCTCCAGCACCCGATGTGGGGTGCATCTCTCACAGCCTTCCAGAGGCTCCTCAAACCTGCCTACCAGAATGGATTTAACCTCCCCCGGGGATTTTCCTTGGCAGAAGATGCCAGGGACCTGCCCCTTCCTCTACCCCGCCTCGTCTCCACTGCCATGGTTGGGACTGAGACCATCACCCCCGATGACCAGTTCACACACATGCTCATGCAGTGGGGCCAGTTTCTGGACCACGACATGGACCAGACGGTGGCAGCCATTAGCATGTCCCGCTTCTCAGACGGAGCACCCTGCAGCGAGGTGTGCAGCAATGACCCACCTTGCTTCTCCGTCATGGTCCCTGCCAATGACCCTCGCGTGAGGAACGGGCGCTGCATGTTCTTTGTCCGCTCGAGTCCCGTGTGCGGTAGCGGGATGACCTCCCTGCTAATGAACTCCGTCTATGCCAGGGAGCAGATCAACCACTTGACATCTTACATCGATGCCTCCAATGTTTATGGCAGCACAGAGCAGGAATCACGGGAGCTGCGGGATCTGAACAGCCAAAATGGGCTACTGAAGCAAGGGCAAGTTGTGCCCAGCTCGGGGAAGCATCTCCTTCCCTTTGCTGTGGGGCCACCCACTGAGTGCATGAGAGATGAGAACGAGAGCCCTGTGCCGTGCTTCCTGGCAGGAGACCACCGTGCCAATGAGCAGCTGGGTCTCACAGCCATGCACACGCTTTGGTTCAGGGAGCACAACCGCATTGCCACAGAGCTGTCAGCCCTCAATCCCCATTGGGATGGAGACCTCCTGTATCACGAGGCACGGAAGATTGTGGGTGCCCAGATGCAGCATATCACCTATGCCCAGTGGCTTCCCAAGGTCCTTGGGGAAGCTGGGATGAAGATGCTGGGTGAGTACAAAGGCTACAACCCCAACATCAATGCGGGGATTCTCAACGCCTTTGCCACTGCTGCCTTCCGCTTTGGGCACACCTTGATCAACCCCATCCTGTACCGACTGAATGAAACTTTCCAGCCCATCCGCCAAGGCCACATCCCCCTGCACAAGGCCTTCTTCTCCCCTTTCAGGATCACACAGGAGGGTGGGATCGATCCTCTCCTCCGCGGGCTGTTTGGGGTTCCTGGGAAAATGCGGGTCCCCTCTGAACTCCTCAACATGGAGCTGACAGAGAAACTCTTCTCCATGGCACACTCTGTCTCATTGGACTTGGCTGCTATCAACATCCAGAGAGGGCGAGACCATGGCATTCCACCTTACAATGACTTCAGGGTCTTCTGCAACCTCTCATCTGCACAGGAATTTGAGGACCTCAGAAATGAGATAAAGAACTTGGAGATCAGGGAAAAGCTCAGGAGGTACTGTAGCCTGGACTTGGAAGCATCAAAATCACTGGACATCAGTCAGTGAAAAGTTTCTGATCCTCCCAGGACACCCATCAAATAACCTTCCTAGATATTGCTACCTGCAGATGTTAAGATAGGGTAATAGCTGTGGTCTGAGAATGGGGTAAGACAAATGAGGTCTCTCCAAGTGATCAGTCTGGTTCTGAGTGGAATGTCATCAGGCACTGCTGTGGTGTAGTTTGGGAGCAGATTGAGCCTTGGAGCTATATTCCAGTGCGACTAAACTGCATCCTATCTGCGCTGGCTGCCTCTTTCCAAGGCAAGCCTTTATCCCATTGTCTTTTAGATAAGACTATTGTAAATATTGTTCAGATGAGTTCCTTGCATACAAATTCCTATGATAAGATCAGATTTATTTTATCTCCACTCTTTGATAGTCTTCTAACTTTTTTTTTTTAATATCTTTTATCCTGCAGTTTATATGGAACTACCAAAAATATTGACCTGTTTCCAGCCCTGATGGTGGAGGATCTTGTCCCTGGTACCAGAGTTGGACCGACGCTGATGTGCCTGTTAACGACACAGTTCAGAAGGCTGAGGGATGGAGATAGGTATTATCATTGGAGTCAACCCAAAGTCTTTGGTATTCTGTTTTAGGGGATTTGCTCCCTATGGGGAGGAACAGAACCTGTATTTTTTTATTATTTCTTGTCTTATGATACAAGGAAGGGTCTCCTCTGTCCCGTGAATTTGCAAAAGGACTTGCCAAAGTTACTGTCAATGTGTCCTTTTCTGATTTAATGAGTCTCATTTCACTGCAGGACCATTGAGAATGTGCCCAATGTCTCCTGAGAATGCTAGAAAATGTCCACAGCAGCTCCTTCTAATTCCTATTTGCTGCTGTGTGAATGAGACATATCTTTGCCTGGTGATGCACTTAGGGCAGGAGCATAGTTCACCCGTGTCCCAGCCTGCTACAGCAGAGCTGTCTGAGCCTTGGGGTTCCCCTGCGATGGGCTGTATCTGCAGGTGGTGGCACCCTGCAGCTCCAGCCAGCAGCTCACGGGGCTTCAGGTGTTCAGAAAAGGGCAGTCTGTGTTTGAAGCCACCTGACACCAGAATAAAAACTCCTTCAGAGGGGTGTGGGTGCTGCTGCACAGGTGTAGGGGAACTCTTCTCCCTCTCCCAGCCTCACTCCCTGTCCTCCTCTCCTACTCCTGAGTCATGCTGTGATTACAACCCACTGCAGATTTTGGTATGAGAATCCTGGAGTCTTCACGCCGGCACAGCTGACTCAGATCAGACAGACATCCCTTGCTCGTGTCATCTGTGACAACAGTGACAACATCCAGCAGCTCCAGAGAGATGTCTTCCGGGTGGCATCGTACCCACAGGGTATGGTCGGCTGTGAAGAGATTCCCATAGTGGATCTACACTTGTGGCAGGACTGTTGTGAGGGTAAGGAAGGAGGCTGCTCTAGCACCGACTGATGTGGGGATGGCTCTGGGTGGCACTCGTCATATGCAATCATCTAGTCCAACTGCCTGACCACTTCAGGATGTTATTAAGGGCATTGGCCAAATGCCTCTTCAACACTGACAGACTTGCAGCATCGACCACCTCTCTAGGAAGCCTGTTAGATTCATTGAATCTGGCCAAAGGTCTACCTAGTTGAGGGCTTCTGGCAGGAGCCAATAGCTCATGCGTAGGGGGAGAAGCTGAAACAGGATGTAGGCATGGTGATCTCCACCACTTATCATTTACAGATTCATGTAGGAGTCTGTAAAACTCTACCGTTAAACCACAGATCCTACCGTGGTCCCTTTGTGCTATATACTGGCTACCGATGTCCAGCTGAGCCATGGGTGCCCTGTTACACACCTTCGTTGCCTCCTCCCCCCCGGCATAAGAGATGGTGGCCAAGGGTGGGTGGTGAAGGAGGGCAGCGCTGCCTTGTGCTGCCTTCAATCCACATGATTCTGCTTTAAACATGAATGCTTACTGCAGACTTTCTCTTCCTTCCCAAGACTGCCGGACACGTGGGCAATTCAGAGCTCTTTCTCAGCGGTTCCGAAGCAAGAGGTCTCCTGGCTTCAGCTACCCAGAGGAAAACCCTGCCAAGCATAAGCCTGCCTTCCCCAGGTGTAGTATCACCACTTGTTTTACCTCCATTTTACGAAGCATAAGAAAAGTTTTTAATAACTTAGTCCATTCAGGCCTTTGAAATTGGCATTCTGCAGAGGTCTGTTTCATTAGACAGATGCTGAGCTCGGTCAAAGTCCTCCAACGCTTTAGTGCAGAGTCCAACTGATATTTAAATAGCTGGGCTGAGTGGCTGGTTGGTTGGCATCTCTTGGCAGGTGAATCTGGCAATTGGGCCCTTCTGTTTGATGCTTACTTGGAGGCTGATGTTGGAGAAGGCAGAAAGATTCTCTCATCCAGGAAGCTAACATTTGCATAATCCCTTTCACTTTTTGTCCCTGACCCCAGAAATGAAGTGCCTTCTCCAAGCCCTTCCTCCAGAGAGAATCTCGAGTCCATTGTGGCTGAACTGGAGAAGACAGTTGCTTCCCTGCGTAAACAGGTAAAACTTTGTGCTCCAATGTCTGTCTTCCATGGAGTCACCCCAGGAGCAGGATTTAGCTATATGCTATGGGCAGCCTTTGTGACTTCTGCGTCCTCCAGAGCCAGGAGCAACCATCCGATCAGAGGGAATTAGCGGCACGTACAGAAGAGGTAGAGTAGGGAGAGGAGAGATGAAGCTGAGCTCTGTGAGCTCAGACCTCTGCAACCGCAGAGTAAAACACCAGTTTGAGCCGGCACTTTCTTCTTGTATGTGGGACAGGTTGAAGATTATCTGTGCAATGGTGCAGACTCCTCTTAGCGCTGCTGCTTTCTCGTCCCCACCAGGTGAATGCACTAGAGAGCCAGCTGTGGTGGCACCACAGGAACACCAGCACGCCTGGACGGGGAAAGAACACTGGAGACAAATGGAGAAAAAGATGACTGTGTTGCCTGTTCGTATAAGGTCAGTGTGTTTGTTCTGGGCTGGGGTCCAAGAGGTGGATCAATGGTGCTGCTGAGCGTGCGGTGGGACACCTGAGCAGTCTTCACGGACAGAAGAGACTGTTGCAGAAAGGAATGGAGCAATCCAGTGATGAATGGGACAAGAGCTAATAGGCTTAAATGCAGCAGGTTAGACACTCGTTCCTACCACTAATGATTAGTGACTCACTGGAATGGGTTGTCTGGGGACATTGTGGCTTATCCATTTCTGGAGGTCTTTTAAGAACTGGTTTGACAAAGATGGGGAAAGACATAAGTATAGGATGGCCGAGGTGGACTGGGTGAGGTCTCTCAGGCCTATTCCTCTGGCACTCTGGGTAGGTTTCTGCTAGCAACACTTAATATCCCAACCCCAAATCCAACAGCCTCCAAAGGGCCTTTGTGGGGAGAGATATCACAAAGTGCAGCGATGGAGTAGATGGACTGGTTCCTCCTCGGAGTAACAAGGACACCTGGGCAGATGGAGCAATCCATCATTTGCCTACATATTGACAGAGATTTCCCCCTCAACAACTGAGTCACCGCGCACCTCTCTTCTGAAGGCACCAGTCCTCTGTTTGCTCAGCTCCAGACAAGGGAGTGAGGATGTTCAAGTGCATGTTTAAAGTCACTGTGAGCACCTGCCAGCCTGGGGACTCCTGCTGCTGCTCAGCTGTGGCAGGGTGCTGGCAGAAAGCTGCAAGGTTTCTGGTCCCCTGTGTTTAGGGGCATGGAGAGCACAGACTGAGCTCCCTTAGCCCGCTTTCCATGGAGATCCCTGCAGCCTTGGAAGAGAATGAACAACTTGCTGGCACCTGCCAGTCTGGAGGAGGTGTTTAATGGTTTTTACGTGTTGCAAATTATTACTCCAGGGACAGGAGCAGAGGAGTTATGCACAAGTGTTGTTCTGCCAGGCAGTCTGTACTAGAAGGAGCATCCTCTGGCAGTCAGATTACAGGGGAGGGCAAGCAAAGGCTGATCTGTGCTGATAATCTCAGCAGAAAGCAGAAGGGGAAGCCTGTACACTGGCCACACTGTTTTGCAGTCTGATTTGGTGTGTCAGTCCTTATAGATTTTTCATTTGAACAGCGATCCCCATTAGAAATTTGCCATAGATTGCAGCGTGACGCATGGGAGTTGGCTTTTCCTTGCCATCATTTGCAGATCCTTGAAGAGCACTGTAGGGTTTACAAGGTCGCTGAAAAGTATTTCTGTGGGTTTAAGGGGCTGTTGCTATTTTCATACTGCAATCAGAGATGCCCCAGACCTGCCGGGCACTGTACAAACAGCTAACTCTGCCTCCAGCTGCCTCCCATAGAGTTTTTCTGCTTTCCTGTGCCATTTCAGGTGCCCTGTGACCTGCACTTCTCTCCACCAGCCAGTCCAACCCACTCCTACAGGGCTCAGAGACAGCAGCTGCCAGACCCCACGATGCTCTGCCTCCTCTCACACCTCCTTCACCACTCCCTGTCCCAGGACGACTGTTCTTCTGCCTGTATTGAACCCTCTGCACTGACTGTCTACAAGCCCCTCAGCCTCTGGACCATTTGCCTCTGGGGATGGGCTCTGCCCTCTTTGATAATGACAGGCCAGCAGTTTGCCAAGATGCCACTTTCTTCTTTGGTCCCCAGGAAATGGAGAATAATTGAAGCTGCTTTAGAGCTGTTCTGCTCTTCTCCTCTTCCCATGCAATGCTGTCATCATCCACCACCCCTGGTCTGAAATGTCCCATGAGCACCCAACCGAAACAATTCATTAAGAGCCAAAACCTTTCTCAAATGCACTGTGATGCCAGGAAACATCTGGAGAAATCTGAGAAAATATACAAATTAAACAAACATGAAACCCAAAACAAACCCCCAGCCACCTTCTCATGCCAACAGAAGGAGCAAGAGGAACCTCGGGGCCCTGGCAAGCACCGTTTGGGCTGGGCTTGCAGTCCCTGCCAGCAGCGAGGAGGTGAACCCAAGGCCCGGGGAAGTCTCCCGGCTGTTCGGGTGCTTCAGGACAGGATGCCAGATGCAGCAGACCACGGCTGCCCACAATGCCGAGATCAGCCGCTGTGCTTTGCCAGTCGTTGGGTAACGAGTGGCACATCCTCGGTGACGTGACCCTGTGAGTGACCTACCATGACATGTCCAGTGCTCAAAAACATTTTCCTCGGCATGACCCGCATTGTCCAACTTTCTGCCCCTTTGGGGAATTAATTGGATTTATGTTTCTCTTCCTTTCTCCCCGCCCCCCCCCAAAAGGCTCTTTGCTGAAAGATGTATTTTGAGTGTAAACGTAACAGGACCTTGAACAGAACCTCAGATAATTAGATGTAATGGGCGCCCTCATTAGTGGAGGGGAGCTGCTGGTTTCTGTCAATTAGTACGGGAGAACACGATGTGCAGTATTTGACATACGGATGAATGCAAAGTGCTGTTTGTGTTTATTGCTCCCAGGTGCTCTGCAACTAAACCAGGACTATGTAACCAGCTCTGCTGAACAGATCTTCTGGTGTCGTTGCTCTTTGGAGGTGCTTTTTAGTGGTGCTAGAACTAAAGTCCCTGTGTATCCACCATAGCCCCAAATCTGTGCACAGATTGGGTTTTAATACATCCTTGTAAGATGGTCACAGGGACCAAAAAGAAAATACTTGATCCATTAGGTACCTGTGCCTTCCTTATCTTTCTCACTTTTCCTGCATCCTCCCATCTTCCTTCCCACAGTGTAAGGACCAGAAACTTTTGTGAACGTGCTTATTCTTTTCTTCTCCCCCCCAGCCCCCCCTTTTTTTTTTTTTAGACGTGTTATAGTACCAAAGGGATTCAAAGCAGCAGGGATGCTCCTGGAACTTAATAGGAAAATAAAAAAGATACTAGAAAAAGGTTGTGATTTATCAGCTATTTCCTGGCGTGGGACTCTGCTCTGTGCGTGCGTGTCCTGTGCAGACACAGGTTTGGAGTGATGAGTGTGTGTTATGCATGTCTGGTAAGTTCAGCTCAGAGGCAGTATTTAGTCCTCAGGGATGTTAGTCATTTTGAAGTACTCTTTCATTTAGGTGCAAATCAAGATCCAAAGCCTTGTGTGTTATAAATCAGCTGCACTTGTCTATCACTTGTACCACTAGAGAATCTAATCTGGCAAAGGTCAATAAAGGTAAATCAGTCTCCTTCTCCAAACCACAAGTTTACCAAGTCCTCATTCAAAACAGCAAGGCATAAATGTTCAGTGTTTGATCTAATCAGATAATCTCTAAATCCATAACCAAGCAGCCCATTTTCCTCCTGATGGAGTGTGACGTGAGGAGCAGACTTGTCAGAAGGACAGCAGAGGGGATGTCCCTTCCCCATGTGTTGCACACCCCTCTGCGCTCCACCTTCTGTTCCCTCCCCACACTGAAGTGGGAAAAATACAGAGAGAAATTAGACATCCCTGCGTGCCTCCGAGGGCAAGGCTGTGGCTGGGCAGGTGGGGGAAGATCTTGGGGGAATTACCCATATATTCAGGTGCTACTTTGGTAAGTAGGGAGCCAAATACTTTATTAAAGACTCCCGTTTTTTCCTAGTTCCCATCTCTGCGGCAACACGCAGAGCAAAGCACACTCATGGAGCACTGCGTACTCCTGCCCTGGGCTTCTCTGCCTGGGAGAGCGTGGGAAAAGAACTGACCCCCAAACCCAGATACTGAAATGCAGCTTTTGGAGGTTGATTGGACATCATGGGACACCCAGGACACGGCAAGCCCAGAGCTGCCGACCCAGGGACAGGTCCAGTTTCTTCTTCATACACCATATGGTTGCAATCTGCAGTCTTAGACCCCTACAATAAAGTCTCCTTTTTTTGTTTGTTTTTTTTTAAACCCAAATGGACATCCAAAATGAGCTGCCTGGACCAATTACAAGCAGAGGAGGATTGAAATAATGGGCTCAAGGCCAGGAGCGGAGTTGCCAGGCACAAAACTCCCACTAATTAGATGGAACAGTTAAGTGACAAAACCCAGGCAGGGGCTGGGGGGGGGCTGGATTTGGGATTTCTCACCGGAGCAGTGATTTTCAGGCGGCTTAAAGTGGACGTGCAAGATGCGAGGTGGAAATCTCCATCCTTTGGCTGGTATCTGTGGTTGCTGGCGTTTGGCAGGGGGGTTGTAGCGTGTCTCCATCTGAGTGTGACCGGGACTGTGAGGAGCGTGGGTGTGCTGGTGGCACCTGGCGCCGGGGGTTGTGTGCCAGGGCTCGGCTCTGGGTGTCACGCAGGCACCTGGGGCTGATCCAGACCGTGCACCAGCCAAGGACCTCCTGATGCTGAGGGGGACCCATCTCTGCTGGAGGCTGAGCAAGCACTGGATCCTGGCGGATCTGGGAAGTGGATTCCCTAGAGATCCTCTGCAATGGGGAATTAGTGGGAGGAGGCAATTGCTTTAGTGGGGTAACCCTGGGAGGTCATTGCAGACCGAAAGAAAAAAGGATTTCCTGTTATAAACCCCACAATATCCACACAGCAAATATCTAAACCACTTCAGATCTCTTCTAAGGTTATTTCCTTAATTCTGTTTTAACTATGACGCATTTGTGGATGCAATTATTTTCCTGTGGAAAAAAAAAAATACCCTCCCACACAAGTGAGATCAAGACTATTAACTGGAGTCAGCCACTTGTCACAAGAGCTGCTTGAAGAACAGAGAGCTGTGTTTACCAGTGCTCTGGTAACAAGCAGGAGAGCACACTTTAAAATAATAATTATAAAAAAAAAAAGCTGTTCTCCTTCTTCGAGAGCGGTGAGCCTGGCACCAGCTGTGCCCGTCTCCCAGATGTGCCCGCGGGTCTGAGCGTGGGACTCCCGCCTGCAGACTCATCCCACCTGCAGACTCGTCCCACCAGATCAACCAGTTTCACTTTCAGAAATAGGAAGTTCACGGGGAAGGGCCGGCAAGCGCCCAGACGCGCGCGAGGGACGCGGGACGGCAGCATGAGCTGCCCGGCTGGCGGCATGAGCCCGGGATCGCCCCTTCCTCTGACTTTGAGAAGCGCAGTGGCATAGATCACCGCATCCACCGCATCCACCGAGGATGGAGCAGTTTGTCCGGAAGCATTTGACCTTCCTGACGTCCTTCTGGAACAAGCTCCGTCCCCGCTCTGTGCCGGAGAGCTGCTCGCTGGGGTATCTTGGTTCCGATTCTGTTTCGCTGCACTCGGAGCCGAACTCCATTTCCTTCATCCCCAAGTCCTCTCTCTTTATCGCTTTATACGCTTTCACAGCCCGAAGCGCAGAGGAACTGAGTGTAAGCGCAGGGGACAAACTGCGTGTCCTCAGAGAAGAAGGAGAGTATGTCTTAGCTCGGCGGCTGCTGGGGGAGCCGGCCATGGGGTACGTTCCTGCTGCGTACGTGGCCAACCTCAGCCAGGGCACCTCCGCTCACCGGCCGTAAGTATCCGATGCTCTGGACCTGCAGGGGGATGGAGGCTGGACCAGGGTAGCGTGTCCCTAGCAAGGTAGCGCTCGCCCTCTGCTCCGGCAGGGAGCACGAGCTCCTCATCTCCTGCTTTTGCCATCGCTGGTGGTGGGACCGAGTGGGCATCTGCCCTCCCATGGCCATCTCCACCATGAAGCTCCTGCAGCTCACAGCAGTGGAGGTATTCAGCACAGCAAGCAAAAGCTGGGGGATGCTCTGGGAGAGGGGGGCAGAGATGCTGGTCCCTCTTTCCGGGCCCTTGCACAGGAGAGGGTGGCTCTGGGCTGGGACACGATGTGATGGTGTGCATGGGTGCAGCTACGGTGCCGAATAAATGGGCTCTTCCTTGTTCTGGCTCCTCTCTCTCTTGCCCTGCCTTTATTAAAGAGGAGACAGCAGGAGGGAGGGAGCTGAGGAAGCTTGTGCCTGAGCCCTGCCAGCTCCAAAGGGCCCGGGAGTGTGGGGAGAAGCAGTTTGGGTTGGGACCTGCTGGGAAGCCCAGAGCCCTGAAGGGCCGCTGTGCCCGTGCTGCCGCCGTCTGGGTCCTGCTCATCTGGGGCCAGGGACTCCCTCCCCGTGGGTGCCTCTCCCACCCGACACGGAGCTCAGGGTGATGTCTCAGCCCTCTGACAGCTGGGGAAAGCCCAGGCTCATCCTTGCATAAGGCAGCCTGGTCCTGACACGCCAGGCAAAGCGCCCCAAGACACTGCTGCTCCCTGTGTGCCAGGCCCTGAGTCACACCGAGTGACGGGGATTGCACGGATGGGGGGGGTGTAATCACCCTGCACGCTCCCCTGGCACTTGCCCTGTGCTTTCGGGAGCAGGGCTGAAGGAAAGGAGCAGAGGGAGCCTGGGAAGGGGCCCTGATGTGCAGGGGCATCTATTGTAGCTGGTGGGATGGGAGACCCTCCCTCGCTCCCTCCCTGCGTGTGCTTTGGAGAGCAGCAAATCCTGTCTGGGACCACACCAGTGAGGACCACAGGGCTGGCGTACCGCTTTAGTCCCCTTACACAACACAGTTGTGCAAGCTACACTGAGTGCACGCGTGTGTGTGTGCCTGTGGTGTGTGTGCAACCCGTGCGCAGCTCAGCCCAGACCCATCCTGAGGACGGAGGCGAGGGGGATGTCGCGGTGTGTGAGGACGGCTGGCAGCAAACGTGCACGGCTTTGCGGCCGGAGCGAGCCGCGAGCACACAGACTCTGTGGAGCCGCAGGTTGGAGCTGGGTGGTAATTTGTTCAGCTGTGTAACCCCATCACGTATAATTTCCTGCAAAGCTTCTCAGAGGCTGGCGATCCCAGTTAATGACGAAACCTTTGGCTTCTCACGTCACAGCTGTATCAGGCTGGATGAAGCAGCTTCTTCCCCATGTTCTGGAGGCGGGCCCCAGCCAGCCCGCCCGCCTTTTCTTGCCAGAGATATGGTGATGAATCTCGATGCTGGTCAGGTACAGAAGAGGGGCTTGGCTGGGTCCTCTCTGCTAGCTCGGTGCTGAGATCCCCAACCAGCACTGCCAAATCTGGAGCAGCAAAGGGCAATTCCCAGAGATGCTTTCATTGATGCGATTTGCTCATGGGCTCTGAGAGCTGGTTGTGCCCATGAGATGCAGGTCAAGAAGTACAAACCAATCCCACGCCCGTAGCTGTTGCTGTCACGGCAGGATGCGCGGGTGCAACCCCACCAGAGCATCTTCCACACAGCACCAGGTGGTTGGTGCTTTATTTACTGCAGGCTGTCAGCGCAGGTGCTCAGCTCCCTGCTGCAGAGCCACGAGTGTAAACCTCCTGATTTTGGGATGGAGCTGAGACCTGGCCAGCTCAAGGCAGCAGAGATCAGGCGCTGCTAGAGGAAATGGTTTGCAGTCAGTAAGTTGTCATAAAATGCAACATGTGCCTACAAAACCAAGGAAATTAAGCAGCCCTGACGCAGGCTGGCAATGGTGTGAGTGGGCAGCTGTCTACAGGCTCTGAGCCACGGGCTGGCCGCCGCGCCGCTTGCCGGGGGTGAGCAAATGGTGGGAGCGAGCTGCTCCCCCTCGCTGGCTCAGAAGGTGCAGGAACCCCCGGGGTGGATGCAGCCCCGTTCATGCACCATCTCTTTGCACCACGCTAACCCCTCTGCCCTGCACCCACAGCTGGTACTTCAGCAAGATCAGCCGAAACGAAGCGGAGCAGCTCCTCCTCTCACCTCCCAACCAGCACGGCTCCTTTCTTGTCCGGGACAGCGAGAGCAGCAAGGGCGAGTACTCTCTCTCAGGTAATTTTGTGACAATTATCCAGAGAAAATTAGCACAGGGAAAGGAACCAAGCTGTTCCTTAGGGGCAGCTCCTGGCTTGGTCAGCATGGGGTGAAAAGCATGGAAATATGTTTAAAGCACTTTATAGCATCTTGTTAAAGTGAATTGACCGCTTTCTAAAAGAGTGGGGAAAGCTAATAGATGCAGGTATGGATTGCCAAATTACTGTGGCAAAGGAAAGTGTATGTTCCTCCCATCCAGCGTATGAAAGCCATAAACAATTCACAGTGGCTTAATGATGGTTTCATGGCACTAACGCTCAGGATTTCATTCCAGCAGCTTTTGTCATCTGAGAGTTGTCTAAAAATATGCCGTCACTCCAGATTACCAGGGCCTGGGCTGCTCCCATGTACAGAAATCTGAATTCAGGGGTTTTTGGACCACACAGCTCCGTTATGATCTGGTCCGATCTACATAAAAACAACCTTGAGAAATTCACGGTGAACCCCACATCCTGCCCATCAGCCCCCCCAGACTGCGGTGTGCCTGCAGGAGGTCCGACCACCGCTGGTTTATCCACCTCGAGCAGCAATGAGCTCTGTTGCTCTCAAGCAGTCCATTTGCATGGGGAATTATCCCTGCTAATAAAGCATCGCCACTCTGGTCCCAACGAGCCCTGCTCGCCCATGGTCAGAAGTCTTCTGAGCCAGGAGGTGGGAGCAAAAGGGATGGTGGGGAGTGGGATGTAATTCCCCAGGCGCGAGTTTTGTTGCTTTAGGGTGAATTAATAGACCAGCTGCCTGGAAAGGACAGAGGGTGAGAGTCAGCAGGGAGGTGGGAAGATGCTGGTGATTGCACCAGCTGAATGTTCTTCCGCCTGGGCTTCCCCACAGTGCGCAACCACATGAAGGTCAGCCACTTCCGAATCTGCAAGAGCCCCGGGGGCAGCCTGTACATACAGAAGGGACATCCCTTCCCCGACATGGAGGAGCTCCTCGCCTTCTACACCGAGCACTGGAAGGTCATCCAGAGCCCCTTGCTGCAGCCCTGCAGCCCCGCGGTGCGTATGCCAACAGCACGGCTCGGCCGAGGTCCCAAAGATGTCCAGTGTGGAAAAGAGGAAAGAGAAATTAGGGACAAATATGAATAATTAGTCTATCCATTTGGGATTTGAGCTTTATTAAGCTAAATTTAAAATACACCATTAGTAGAGCTGCCAGCTTCACCTTTTATCAGCCATGTTAAGGCTGAGCATGGCATTTATATGTATTTTTGACCGGCCAAAATGCACAGGCTTTGCTGAACTGTCTTCTCCATCTCAAAGACTAGAAACCATGTTGTTACAAAGCCCTTTGATACTGAATCTGGAAATACATGTGATTCCAATATTTTTCTTAGAGTATAAGACAATCACATTGCTTTTATATAGTTTTCATATCAATTAGTGTGGCACTCATAAATCCAATTAGAGTATTAATCCCAAATTGCCGACTCATTTCCTGATTAGAATTCCATTCATGGATTATGACTTAGAAATAACAATTAAATGTGAATAATTCAAGAGTGAAATTCAAAGGTGTAAGATGAAAGAAATGCTTAATGAGCTGAAGTCTAAATCAGCCATAATAGCAATAATATTAATTTACTCATTTTTATTTATTGGTGGAAATGGAGAAAAGCCACCTTTGAGGTCTGGTGAGGAGAGAATTATGATCTGAATTCCTGATATTTCATGTAGTGTCCAATACTCTTCCCCCTTGGATACGTTGGCTCCCAGCAGAGGTAACTGCAGAGGATGCTCCACATGCCTTGTGTCCCCAGTGAATATGCAGCAGAGGGAAAAGCAATGCCCAGGCTGCAACATCAGTGCAACGTAGGTGGTGGAGCACAATGTCCTGCTCACTCCTCCATGGCCACCAGGCCTTGGTGGGCACCGAAAGCTTATGCAGGCTCCACCAGCAGGTCCTGCCCGGCCAGCTGGTCCAAGCGTGCAATGTCCATTTTGCAGACCCCCCCTGAGAGGGATGGCTGGGAGCGCCCACGCTGGGAGTTCACCCTGCGGAGGAAGCTGGGTGAGGGCTACTTCGGAGAGGTGTGGGAAGGACTGTGGAGGAACACAGTGCCGGTGGCCATCAAGATCATAAAAGGTAGGCGGAAGAGCAGATGTTAATCGTGGCCTACTAGGTCTCTTCGTTCACTGTCACATTGTTCACCCCCTTTCCTAATCCTCTTGGTCACTGTGTCTAATCCTGGCAAGTAGCTGTACTGTTTCTGTGGACCCACCTAAACTTGGGCTTCACCTTTATAAAATGGCTCCATCTAGTGGGTTTGTGACAAGTCACGTTCAGTCAAGTCAAATGAAGGTTTGTGATAAGTCAAGGGAAGTCCAATGGGTTTGTTGTAAGTCAAGTCCTGATGGGACTATGATCCTGAAAATGAGATCCAAAGCCCTGTGGAAAACACCTCATGGGTGTTTAGATATGAGACACAGGTTGTGCAGACATGAACTTTGAGAGCAGGGGTGGCCTGTGAGGAGGAAAAGATCCTCATCCCAGTTGGACGTGCTGAGCTCCCAACGTCCATATGAGAAAGTAGCTCACAACAGCCACGTTGGCTTTCTCCCCCAGCTGACATGAAAGCGGAAGACTTCACCAAGGAGATTCAGAACCTGAAGCGCCTGAGGCATGAGAAGCTGATCCAGCTGCACGCTGTCTGCTCACTGGATGAGCCCGTGTATATCATCACTGAGCTCATGCGGAAAGGCAACCTCCACAGCTACCTCAACAGTGAGTACTGCTGCCAGCACCATGAGGAGTGGGCTCCTGGGGCAGTGCTGCTCTGCAGATGCTTTCCATGCCCCAGAATGGCCCTATGAACCCAAGTGAGGACCCTAAGAGAGAGTGAGCCTGGTTTCCATCCCACTTAAATCAGTGGCAATGCAGAGCAATCCATGGGCACTTGGTGGAGATGATCTTGGTTGAACCTAAGACCCAAAGATGCAGTCTGGTGTGATCCTTTTGGTGTCTATGTGTGTTGGGTCCATATCAGTCTCTGGGAGCCCAAAAGTGCTGGTACGGATCTTCATCCCTCCTTCATCACCCCCCTCGTGGGCTGCCAGCTCCCATCAGTGGACATAACTCCTCTGCCGTGTTTGAGCAACACTGTCTTGGTTAGGAATGAAACGCCGAACCTCCCCCTGGGCCTGCAGCATGGTTTCATTCATGTGCAGAGCTGGTAACAGGCCATGCTCCACTCATCACCTGGCCATCAGTTTATTTTTCTTGGCTTTTCTTCTCCTGACCCAGTAATCAGTCTTGAAGGGAAACACCACAAACAGTTCCCACCAAGGCCTGTTTTTCTACTGGGTACACCTCCCTCCTCCCCCACACTGACCTCATTTTTGGTTAGGGTTCCAGCAGCATTTGGTGCTGGAGGAGCTGGAACTTGCAGGTAGGATGGGTTGAGAGGCCTGGCTGGAGATTTGCACGGCAGAAAGTCACCTATAGCTTTCAACGAGCCATGGATGTCTGTGTCCTCGTTGCAGCACAGGACACGTTCAGAGCTCACCCCAGTCCCATTCCTGAGGAGCACATGGCTGTGCTGAACTTCCCACGCTGCACAGCCAGGACAGTTAGGCAGGACCTCAAATTTGAGGTTTTACACATTCTGCTGGTTCCATGCTGCCAGTGCAAGGTCTCCTTCCAAACCAGAGCACCCAAAATAGATGTTGCTAGATTGCCCCCAACACTTGGATCATCTGTGTTAACAGGTCCTGAAGGGAAGTCCCTGGGCACCTCCCACTTGCTCAACATCGCCTGCCAAGTGGCGGATGGGATGAGGTACCTGGAGGAGAAGCACATTGTCCACCGGGACCTGGCGGCCAGAAACATCCTGGTGGGAGAGGAACTGACCTGCAAAATTGCCGATTTTGGACTTGCCCGGCTCCTCAAGGTTGGTCAGTGGGATGCTGTGGATCCTCCTGTCACCTCAGGCCACCAAGCTGCCCTGTGCTGCAGCCATCCCCCTCTGTCCCCTTTCCTGGCCTGCAGCCTCAGCAGAGCCCCAAAAGCAGTGGCTGTGTTCATCACAGCATCCCTCATGGCCCATCTCCCATTACTTTTCAGGATGACATTTATTCCACCAGCAGCAGCACCAAAATCCCAGTGAAGTGGACAGCCCCGGAGGCAGCCAACTACCGCACCTACTCCCTCAAGTCTGATGTCTGGTCCTACGGGATTCTGCTCTATGAAGTCTTCACGTATGGGCAGATCCCGTATGAAGGTAGGGCTGCCAGCCCCCTCACAGCCACTCTGTCCACATGCTGGGCAGCTTGCCCGTGGTCTCCAAAAGCCAACGTCATGAATTGTCATATTGTCCCTTCCATAATGGATGTGGAAGCAGCTCCAAGAGCATAAGCAAGTTACTGTCCACTTTGGGGATTGCTTAGAGGGATTTTCAGTGCTTGCAGAGTGGGTACAGGAGCTGGGGGTGGGAAGGTGGCATGGGCTGGATGGTCTCCCGCAGCCTCTACTCTACCAGCCTCGTGGCAGAGAAACACCATTTCACAGCAGCACCAGTTGACGTCTTAGCTCACTGCAGGTGTATCTTCAGGGCATCCTTTGGGGACATTAGATTGAGCGGCATCTTCTCCTTCCTTCCAGGAATGACAAACCAAGAAACCGTACGGCAAATCACCAGGGGCTACCGCCTTCCCCGCCCCAGCTCCTGCCCTCCTGAGATCTACAGCATCATGCTGGAGTGCTGGAGTGGCAACACGGAGGAGCGTCCTACCTTCCTGGCCCTGCGGGAGAAGCTGGGCTTCATCTACAGACGGCTGCTCAGCTCCTTCTCCTGAGGGACCCCTTGCCACCATCCTTCCTGCACAAGCCCCTCCAGGCCAGCTCTTGCCAAGAAGCTCCTTTCTTCTGGTTTGCCCTCTGACAGGGCTCCAAGGAAAGCACATCTGCCAAAACCAGCCCATGGTCCCTCTCGGTCAGGATGCAGGGAGGTGGCCAAGGGAAAAGGCAACGAGTTGTGGAGAACTCGATGCCAGCACTTGGCTGTGTAGCAGTCTGGAAAAGCCCCATGGTAGTGAAGGCATCACTCAGAGTTTACATCTTCATTCAGCCAGTAGGGTGGGAGGTCCCTGCCGCTCCCCACGCCAACGTGAAGGTTTGCAGTTTGTGTTCAGTCGTGGCTCCGCTTGATTTTTCTCGTAGTGTGTGTCCAGTGTATTTATCAATAAATGTGTGTGCATCCATCCACGGAGTCCCTGCAGGGCATTGCGGGATGCTCTGCCCTCACCACGCTGCTCCCCTCCCTGCCCAGGAAGCAACGGTTTGCAACCAGTCCCACTCTTGCAACCATAGATATAACCATCTTCGTGTCTTTTTGGTCTCTGTTCATCCAGATATGCATTAAACCTTCATGTGCATCTGCCACCCCTTTCCCAGGCAGCAGCCCCGACTCGTCCCAAGGACCCTGCACAGGCAGCTCCTGCCTGGGCTGCTCTGCGCCGGCTCCTTGTCTTGATCACCATCGAGTGGTTATTCCAAGAAAAATGTATGTTTGGGTTCAAATATTTAACGCCTCCTTAGCCCAGGTGCAGGCGGCAGAGGCAGCACTGGGTAAAACACTGCTTCGCTCCGGTTTGCTCTTTATCGCACCCACGGTGCAAAGCCGAGAGATGCTCCCACCGCGCCCAGCTCCTCGCTGGTCCCAGGGTACGGCCATACAGGATGACCTTGAGCCTCTCATCCCCCCCAAGCTGGGGGAGCTTTTGCTCCAGCCAACTACCTTTTGCCCCCCGCGCCGGCCATGCTCTCGGAGGCCGGGCTGTCCTTGGCAGCGGTGGAAGGACTCACTGAAAAGCAGCGCCGGGAGCAGCGCCAAC